TAAGTAAGGCTGAGGAAGGCAGATGTGTGATGGTTACTGAAAGGGGGTGATGTGAGCCACGTGTATCATTAAAGGGAGAAAGGATGCGGGTGTTTGCTAAGCACCTGCTATGTGCCTGGCACTGTTTTAAGGACTTGACTTGTATTATTCATTTAGTCCTCACGACAACCTTGTGATGCTGCTAATACTATTCCTATAATATACACAAGGAAACAGCCTAGAAGAGAGAAACTTCTGCAGCTAAAAAGCAGATCTGAAATTCAAACACCAGTCTATTTGACCTCTAAGCCCAGAGCTTTAATTTTCTTCCTACTACATAGTGAGACCTGACAAATTCATCTATAAATACCCAAGGAGTGTCAGAACAGAGGAACTTCAAGTACAGTATGCTTTAAAAAAAAAAAATTATGTCTTCTATAAGGTATAAACCCACATTTTAAGCTCAGAGTACTGAAAATTGCCATAACATTTCAGCCAGGAATATATTGATGCATAATTCCTTAACACTTGTCAGAGGATTGTGACAATATCCTGTAACGATTTAGTCTCTTAGTTATAATTGTAGATTTCTAGTCTTGTACAAAAAATGCTACACTCACATAAAAAATATTAGAGGATGGGCTAGTTTCTTCAGTGTAATATTTTGCTTTAAATTTTCCCGTTAAAAACCTAAATTCTGAAGTGTATATGGGAATGTCAGAGGCTCAAAAATTTTATGGTAGGGGATTCTCCTTTCCCTACCCTTCAAAAATCTCTCTTTCAAGAAGTATAAGCTGCAATGTCAAAATGAGGAAGGAGGATAGCTAACTTCTAAGTAAATCTCAGGGAGCAGTGTCAACTGACTTGGGGAGTCTGACAGCTGCCAAAAAGCAAGCATAATGGTTTTTTTGGGGGGGATGGCGGGTTGGTCAAACACACTAATACTAAATCAAATGCTAATTCAAACTAACTTCCTGTGATTTAAGGGAATTTATCAGAAACCAATGAGTCTGAAAGATTTTCATTTATTGTTTTTTTGGTTGATAGTCTTATGAGTAACTTCAGCTACTAAGATGCATTAATTTTAAACACTTAAGCTGAGACAGCTTGTATAAGGTTTAGGTCAAAACTTAGGGGCTTGAATCCAACTCATGGAAGTGTTCCACTTGAGGTGTTCATCTAGAATTTTATTTTAATGTGAGAGCCAATTTTTTAAAAGGTAGGAAAAAAAATCACATGTGAAACATCCAGATCCTGAGCTTTTCATTAAAAAAAAAAAAAAAGGAACAGGTTTTGGCAGTGATGGGCTCGCGTTCCCATATGGCTGAAAATGTGCTGAAGTTGTACGTCAGCTGCCCCTTAGAGAGGTGTGGTCGCCGGGCCATGGTTCTGGGCAGCCAACCCCACTCCTGAACTTACCTACCTCTTCTTCATCCCTAGAGATATCTGAGTTTGTGACTCCTATTTTATAGGAATGGAACAAGGGGGTGCAGGAATTAAAAAATAAATTGAGATAAAGAAAAGATACAGCTGTATCATTTGGTCACTGCTTCGCGACAGAATCTGTTATAGTGTCTTTGGACATATGATATCACCTGGTTTATGACACGGGGAAGTTTTCAAGGGGTGTAAATCCTTCAGCATAAATATTCACATTAAACGCTTTTAGTATTCTGGTCCGAGATGAAATCCTGGGTGACTATTTTGAGAGAACTCTTTTGTCTGATGTCAATTACGAAATAGCTCCTCCCACTTTTCTACCAGTTCTAATATTTATGCTGAATTTCTTCAAGAGAAAAAAAAAGAGGACATGGCTTGCTTGATTTGTCTGTCACCTCGGTGTAATCTTTCCAATAATCAGACTCTTTTCTTTCCCTACCAGTAACTATGGCTCATCTCACACTCAAAAACCAAAATAAAATGCTTGACGGGGATAAGAAACATGCTCAGGATACACGAAGTAATGAAATACAGTCTCCGATTGGTCCACGTTATTCTTTCTTCTCTACCAAGCTACCTCTCAACAGTTTCTGGTTTTTGCCCACCAGGTGGCGAGATAACAGATGTAAGGTTTTATTTCAACTAGCACCTTTTTAAAAAAAAGAGATGTCCTAAAGCACCTTAGGAAATTACTTTCAGACCTCCTCCCTAGCCCTCTGTTCCTTCAAGTTCAATTCACCTTTTCCCCTAAAATATGATGGCATTTTTTTCGGTGAGCCCGAAAAAAATCTTGTATTTTACAAAGAGTGGGAAGCAAAGACCACTGCCAAGGATTCTGTCCAAGGTCACAGACAAAAAGGCAAAGGACAGACTTGGATGTCTCAAGGCTTGGCCCAGGGTTTGGGAATCAGGAAACAGTGACCTTTGAACATCATCAATGGTGTGCCAAAATTCTTCATGGCAGAAATATTTAAGGGTATAAATATAAAAGGAGGAAGTGAGGGGAGCCAAGGTGTACATGTTCTACAGCGAGTGAAAACAAACTCCTCAGGTTTCTAAGGAGCGGGATGAAAAGAGTAACTGGGACAAGTGTGGGCCAGTGGGCAGACAGGAGGGGAAAAAAAGGGGAGGAGGAGGTATGTGATAGGCAGGAGGAAGGAAGCTGAGAATAGAAACACACTCGGGACGGGAGGGAACCTGTACTAAGCTGGCAGATCAAGGAAGGCAGGCACGTGTGCTGAAAGACTCAAACGCATGCGTCCACCAAATGTTCCCTAATGACAAGTCAGACAGATACCATGTCCCCAGGCACGGAAAGAGAGACACAAAGGAGACCCATAAAACACAGAAGATGCGCACTGTTATGTGTTCCCCTTCCATCACATGAGGGGCTCACACACTCTGCAGGAGAGGCCTGTAATGGCTGAGGGGCCGCCCAGCACAGGGGTTAGCGGCTCAGTGTTGGGATCCAGACAAGCCCAGCTGCCTGGGTTTGAATCCAAATCCTACCATCCACTAGCCGGGTGACCCGAACAAGTTATTTAACCTTGCTGTGCCTGTTTTCTCTTCTGCAAAACGATCATGTTGAAGAACTAAGTGAATTAAAGAAAACATTGATTAGAGGGTCAGGCACATAACAAGTGCTACGTAAGTTAAAGAAGGTAAGTAACACAAGTGATAAAGGAATGCATAGAGGAGACTCATATTCTCAAACTCTGAGACGGTCACAGTATAAAAACAAAGCAGGGAATCCCTGGTGGTCCAGCGGTTAAGACCGCCTGCCTCTTCCTATGCAGAGGGTGCAAGTTTGATTCCTGGTTGGGAAGCTAAGATCCCAGGTGCTGAGTGGGCCAAAAACCAAAAGGTAAAACAGAAGCAATATTGTAACAAATTCAACAAAGACTTTAAATATGGTCCACATTTAAAAAACATAAAATATAAGCAGAAACCAAACAAAGCATATTCTCCTAGCTACATGTTCATAGTGTGTATCAGTTGACCAGTTGTGTCTGACTCTGTGCGACCCCATGGACTGTATGTAGTCTGCCAGGTTCCTCTGTTCATGGGATTTCCCAGGCAAGAATATTAGAGTGGGTTGTCATTTCCTCCTCCAGGGGATCTTCCTGACCTAGGGATCAAACCTGGGTCCTCTGCATGGCAGGCAGACTCTTTATGGTCTGAGCTACCAGGGAAGCCTATTCATATTCTACATGTATCCTTGTAGAAAGAATGTCACAAAACCCAAGACATTCTAAAGTTTAGGTAATAGATGGCTCACAAATCATGGACCTAGAGGGAAAGAACTCAGTGACAAGGTAGCAGGAAGAGAGTGGAACGGGTAGGAGTATAAGGAACACACCTAAGAAATTACAGACGAGTTCTGACTCTGAACACCAGGCCTGGAGGGCTGGGGCTGGGGTGCTGGAGGCTGAGCGCAGCAGCTGGTAGGGGTGACCAGCTGCAATGTGTTAAGACTGACTGGTGTCCTCTATTGTCCATCAGAGGCGAGTGCGGGAGAAGAACCAAGCTGCCTCTCTGCCTTCTCGACTGCATTTCCACTCCCTTCACCTGTTCATTCTCCTGCTACAGCCTTCTTAGTTCAGGCTTCTGTTCTCTTGCATGGGTTTCTGCCACTGGGCTTCCTGCTCCTGTCTCTGTATTCCATCCATCCTCCGTGCCGCCTCCAGGGTTGCTTCCTCTCAATAGACATGTGGTCACGTCCCTGCCTTGTCAACCTCCCCCGATGGACTTCCCACACCCGATTACGGAAAAATCAGTCTTCACATGGTAGACTCTTCATCATCTTGCTCCAGTGTCCCTGTTTAGGGACATTTCACCTTTCCCCCACTGTGCTCAACCAATTCTAATCCACCCTGGACTGAATATGTTGCCTGAATATACTATATTCAGGGGTCCCCAACCTCTGGGATCTAATGCCTAATGATCTGAAGTGCAGTTGATGTCGTAACAATGGAAGTAAAGTGCACAATAAATGTAATACACTTGGACCATCCCCAAACCATCCCCTGCCCCAGTCCATGGAAAACCTGTCTTCTACAAAATGGGTCCCTGGTGCCAAAAAGGTTGGGGACTGCTGTATCCTACGATACTTTGCCTGGACCCCACTTTATGACCTTTTCTATCAGGAGAAGTCCTTTTCTCTCTCTGAGATGTACCTTAATTGTCATCTCCTAAGGAATGTCCCTTCTCAGTTCCCTAAGCAAAGAAACACCCTCATTTTCTGAGTGCCTATAGCTTTGTGACCAAGCATCTGTTACAATACATGCCACCCAAGACTGTAATGTATGTGTTTCATTGTCTGACTTCCCATTAACCCCTCTGCACCTCAAAGAGACAGCCAACTGTTTACTAAGTTTAAAAAACACCCAAACCTAGCATACTACCTTGCATATGGCATGGTTGCCTCTCAAAATCTGTTGGTTGAATCAAACATAGGGAAAAGAGAATCTTAGTTCTAACAGCATAAACTAAGCAGAAAACAAGGAAACACTTGAGACTGCTTGCTAAGCCCTTCCCCTGCCCCCACAATGGTCAAGGGGAGTAGACCGCCCACTGCTCACCGCTGAATATCCTTGTTCTTCCACAAGGAGGCAGACTGAGCCTTGGGCACTCGTTCAATGAAGTTCACCAACTCTTCCATGAGGAGCCTAGATTGAAACAAGGAAAGCGATGAACACTCAAAAAGAGAGTCAGAAAAACACTGCACTCTAACACAGTCAAGAGAAATGGGCTTGTCTGCCTGCCCGTCCCCAATCATCTTTCTTCCTGTTTCATGTAAATTTGGGCACCATTTTATATAAACCTGAATTTTAAAACTCAAGACTCTGTCTTGTATTTCCATGTTAAAAATTCGGAATGTAAATGATTTAATTCACCTTTAAAATAAGCCTGGAGTGTTGCTTATCTCCAAAGTCTGAAATATTTAAACCTATCTCTCACTCTTAAGATCTCTGCCTTTATTTAAGTAATTAAAAATACAGCAGGAGAAAAAGCTAAGTGAGCATGAAGTATCTGATTTTGCTGGTAGCAGAGGTGGGGGCAGGATTGTTTTTTAATGACAACATTAAATGGACATTTTTTAAACTGGTGAAACAAATTTTCTTCATATATATGTTTCAGGAATTAACAAAATTCCACATTCAAGAACACTCTTAAAAAAAAAAAACACTCTAAGAACTAATTCTGAAGCTCTAACTCAAGGACCTGCCAGAGGACAGGCTTTGCGACTGCAAGCTGGATTTCCACAGACCCCCACCTGAGGGAACCTGAGAGAGGCCTCGCTCAACTGGGTCAAAGATCTCACGCTCTGAGGAAGCCATGGTACAGCGCACGAGAGGCCCCCGGATAGCTACAGGATGACCAGAAAGCTAGAAAGAGACTTTTAACGTCCTGACTCCCCTATATGATCCAGTACAGATGTTCCGGATCGACTTAAATCCTCTCCCAATAAACATATAAGCATGGCAAGCCATAAACATATTAGCATTTGAATGCTGGAAGACTTCATTTTGTTTCCATTTATTTACTTATTCCTAATACCATCATTGACTTTCACCTCAAGGGAGCAGCATCTGTTCTGGCATTTGAAGATCTGGGATTCAGGCTCACGCCTGCTGTAGCTACAGCTTTCAGGAGAACATTCTCGTGTGTCCATTCTCAGGATTTAGCTTTCTCAGACAATCTAATGCTCTCGGTTTCTCCTCTCCCTGATACTGACCCATCACCTTTACTTTTCTATTATGTCTTTCCCTCAGATCTTTTACAATTTTTCTGTACACACTGAGGGTAATAAATTTGACACAAAACACAGACTGATTTTGCTTCACTTCTGGTAATTCCATCTTGCTGGACTTCAGCCAGACCCTGGAACCTAGAACTAAGAGTCTATATCACACTTAGATCCTGTAGTTTAGGTCTTGATAGTTTTACCTCATACCATACCGGTTTGTTTGCTTCAACACAATTCTTTCTGTTATGGGGTAATTTTCTTCACATAATTTTTTTTTTCTCACTAAATGATACTCTGGTTACTTGAAACAACCTTCTGTCCCACATAGACCTGGGAGGGGCTGGCATCTGGCTCATAGCATTCTCAGAGTCAAAGAAAGACTGTGAGGTTTTCATTTCATTGGGTCTTGAGTTTCACTCCGTCAACAGTACAGACAACTTCATCTACACACTCATCCTGTTTTCTACCAGCCATCTCTCTCTGTCTTTTTTCCTTTTACTGGCATGTGGGATCTTAGTTACCCAATCAGGGATTGAACCTGCGCCCTCTGCAGTGTTAAGCGTGGAGTCTTAACCACGGGACCACCAGGGAAATCCTGCAAGCTGTCTCTGTTTATAGTCTGCACTAAAAGGGAGGGAAACTTTGAAAGCAAAGTATTAAATTTTCTTTTTTTTCTTAAATATGCTGTGTTCCTTTCTCCTCCAAAGCCCTCTTCATTGCATCTCGGTGGCACCTACTGAATGATACCTCCCCTAATTAGTGTTGTCTGCACAGAACAGTTGTCCCTCTCTTTCCATTTTTCTAAAGACTAAACGACCACTATTCTCAGCATCCATTTCTAGGCAACTCCAACAAACACTTGTTTTATCTGCAGAGTTGTCTCTTCATTCTGCCCCTCCAGGTCAGCTGCTCGGGAGCAAACCACAGTGCCCCTGGGCACAGCACTCTGTTAACAGTCGCTGCTGAAGATGGGAGCTCTCCAGCTGCTCACACACAGCTCCAGAAGAGATGCCCTCACCTGCCAATCTGAACGGTGGGCTCCGTGGCGTAGACTGTGCCCGTGAACCCGGTGTGCTCCGTGATGTAGGGCAGGGCCATCATGCAGTGATAGTTAGAGATGAGGATCACATCCACTGTAGACAGATCTATCAGCTCGGTCTGAGAAGAAAGGGGAGGGAGTGAGACGTGTCTGTGTTCCGCACACAGCTCAGCACGATGGGGCTGAAAAATGACACTGTCAGAGGCGGAGTGGCTGTGGTGCTACAGAATAATGATGCTGCTCCTGTAACGTTTCTGGTCTCTCGCGTGGGGATATTCCCCAGCGCTGACATGAAGCAGCAGGACAGGACGGCTGCTGATTTTACCACAACAGAGTTCTGAAAGGCAGACCTATGAGGATAAATGACAACGGGACACTTCAGCCGCTGCTGCCTGCCAGGTGGAGCCAGGTAACAGGAAGCAGCTCTTCAAAAGTCCAATGGAGGAGACAACTTTATTTTTTCTCGAGGTGACTTTAGACCAGTAGTGCTGAATAAGGAACCCCCCCAAATGTAGTGGCAGAGTCATAAAAGGAGGTTATACTCTTGTACTCTACCCTAACCATAACCCTCAGTCTACCAGTTACTCCACTATTAATGTCATGTGAATAGGGAAAAAGACAGGTTGGCAGGTGAGGAATAATGTTACTCATGTTGAGTAAATTTTATGAAAACTTTTAGTAGAAGGGAATGATTCTTACATAAATTTAAGCTCTACCTGCCTTTTTAAAAAAATTATGAAGTATTTTTTTGGGGGGGCAATTGCTTCCTCTTCTTCTTCTTTAATATTTACTTATTCATTTGGCTGTGCTGGGTCTTAGCACATAGGATCTAGTCTTGTGTGCTAGACCAGGGATTGAACTGGGGACCCAGGCATTAGGAATACAGATTCTTAGCCACTGGACCACCAGGGAAGTTCCCCTACCTGCTTTTTAAGACTCAATTCTCTTCTTCTGCTAAGCCCTCCTGATTTGCCCAGATGAAAGGAAGCACTTCTTCCTAAGAACTGCCAAGGCACTTTGTCAATATCCCTCTTAAAGCAGTTACTATTCTTTACTATGGTGGGCAACTCAAAGGATGCCCATGTCTCCCCAAACTGGAACGTCTCTGAGATAAAAAAAATCCCGTAGGACTCATCTCTGTCCCCTTCAAGCTGTGGCAGCCAGGACAGAACAGGCCTCGGTGCATTGTTGTTGGAGGAATACATCATGAGAAGCGGCGCCCTCTGTGGAGGCGCCACTGTGACAAGCTAGCTGCTCTGGTTCAGAGACATCTCCTCAGTCTCTGAGCTCTCCCTCACGGAACTTATCCCACAGAAACTGCATGGGGCAGTACAGACAGCATGGGATAACTCAAGAAAGAGTTTTAGTTAGGAGACTGGGGCACAGAGCTACTCTGTCCCCCACAGAGTGGGACAAAGATGTCTGTGCCATCTTTGCAAACAACAGAGACAGCACACCAGTTCAGCTGTGGGTATTTTCTGGTTGAATGACTTTATGTGTAAAGTAAATTGATTTAATAAAGCCATCAAGGCATAATCAGCTTCAGCTCCTTAGGACAGAAAGGAGATTAGAGTCAAAAGCTACTCACTGCCAAGGCAATGGCAATCTGTGTGAATAAAATGTCTAAGGACCGAAACTTAACTCCATGTTGCATACTGCACTTCCAAGACTATATCCTCACATAATGAAGGAAGGTCTACTGGTCCTATTTCTCACCTCCTCTCCAGAACCATTTTTAAACAAATGAGAAGGTTAAGACAGAGTAGCAGAGTGACAGGTACAGAAGAAAACAAGGGAAGGAGAATTGAAGCAACAGTAAAGGCCAGAAACTTCCCTCCCTTCCTTCTACCTCTACAGAAACTGGGTAGGTATATTTGAAATTTCTCTTTAAGGATGTAAGAATCAGCCCACAGAGTCTATAATGATAAGAAATCTGGTGAGGACAGCTGGGGGACAAATATATATATATATACACCCATATGTATTGCCTGTATATATATCAAAGACTGCCTACATAAACAATTTTCTGAGAAATAAATTTTAACATCCAAACTATGTGTGTGTGTGTATATATATATACACACACATTTACTTTCACTCAATGGTATCCCGTAAATATTATTTTTAAACTTCTTGCATACAGATACTTTGGTTCTTTGTGTTTTTGTGCACGTGTGGGCTCAGATGTGTCTGACTTTTTGCGACCCCATGGACTATTGCCAGCTAGGCTCCTCAGTCCATAGGATTTCCCAGGCAAAAATACTGGAGTGGGTTGCCATTTCTTCCTCCAGGGGATCTTCCTGACCCAGGGATCAAACGCGTGTCTCCTGCATCTCTTGCACTGGCAGGCAGATTCTTTACCAATGTGCTACCTGGGAAGCCCAATACAGACACTTGGCTTCTACAGACCATGAATTGGATCAAAACAATCATAATTTATTGGCTGCTTACTATACTGTCCTAGACTTTATGCACAGTCTGTGGTGCAGACTTTGGGGGAATACAAAGATGTTTAAAGTAGCTGCACTAGATTGTAAATTCCATGAAGACTAGAATTTTAGTTCTGTATGGCTCAGCCACAAGTCAGCCAAGGCTGGACTGTGTAGTAAGTCTCTGTCTCCTGACTCAAAGACTCTCCTATTTTCTCCTGATCGTACAATGCCCTGGTTTCCCTTAAAACAGTAAGTATTACTAATCTGTCATGGGCTACCCTGGTAGCTCAGATGGCAAAGAATCTGCTGTCAATGCAGGAGACCCCAGTTCCACTCCTGGGTTGGGAAGATCCCCTGGAGAAGGGACAGGCTACCGACTCCAGTTTTCTTGGGCTTCCCTGGTGGCTCAGCTGGTAAAGAATCCGCCTGCAGTGTCGGAGACCTGGGTTCAATCCCTGGGCTGGGAAGATCTACTGGAGAAGGGAAAGTCTCTGGTATTCTGGCCCGGAGAATTCCAATGACTGTATAGTCCATAGGGTCGCAAAGAGTTGGACACAACTAAGCAACTTTCACTAACATGTCATAAACTACAAATTCTGATGCAAGTTAAAAAAAAAAAACCCTATGGCTCTAGAATCCTACATATAATACTGCTGCTTTTAGCTTGGCAAAAGTGAACTGTGGAATGATGACTGTCTAATTTCAAAGTTTAGTAGGAGTCTATGGAGCAAGTCAGAAAGACCCCAGAACCCCAAGCCAGGGATCCTCTGCTGTTGGTCAAGCTGAAGTTTGCAGCAGTCAATGCCACAGGCACTAAACTGAAAAATAAAAGTATCTGGGACTAGGAATCTTTGAAGAGATGGGGGACTGGCCCACCAGCTCCTAAATGACAAATGAAGATGACAAAATTTTATCAGCAGTTAGGGAGAGCTCAGGATTTTGCTGTCTCCTTCACCCTTGCTCCTATCACTTCACCACAAACTCTCTCCCTTATCTGCCAACTTCAATGACCATGTCCTTCTATGTTTTTCTTTGCTCTGGTGTCCTAAAAGGTCACCTCACATACTTCAGAGAGAGAGAGAGAAAGTTTATCTAAAGGGTATCAATAAAGTTGTAGAAATGGAAAGAGAGATAGGAAGAAAGGACAAAACTAAGAGACACAGCACACCCAATTTCTTTTCTCTCTGGCGCTGAACTGTGAAAGTCTGTTTGACAGGCACTGACACCCCCAGGGGACATGGAAAGAGCAGAATGGTGGCTTCTCAGTGATTTCCCCAGGAACCTGGACAGGCTACTGGCCTCCCCACAGTTCTCCTGTGTGCTGAGAACTCCACCCAGGCCACTCTGGGGATCAGGCCTGTCAGTTGAGATGTTTCCTTTAAGACTAATGCAAACTGATCTTTGTTTCCTTTAAAACAATGGAACTGGACTCAGACACTTATAACAAGTCTCATTGTGATGATAATATATAAGCGACAGGTATCCGTGACTCAGTTCAGGATCTGTGAATTTCAAGCAATATTTCATGTGTTATTAAGTCAGCAAGAAGTTTTCCAGTTTATTGTACTAGTGGAATAACAGCAATTCCCAATTACTCAAGACTAGAAAAAGTGTAGCTAACCTAAGACAGGGGCATTATCCAATGGGCCTTCTGCAACCCTGGATGTGAAATCTGTAGATATGGAGGGCGGCCTCTATTCACTGTACTCCATCATATTGGATGCTTGAGCATCTGTGGATTTTGGTACTCACAGGGCTCCTAGAACCCATCCCCTCAGAGACTAAGGGATAACTGTAATTACAAAACTGAAAGACTTCAGTTATTCTTTACCTTGCTCAACACTATGCCCCAGTGTGAATGTCAATGAGGATTATAGAAAGAGCTAGAAAGAGAATGACCTCAGTGATTTATGGACAATTCAAAAAGCTCCTAAATGATCGAATTTTTTGATTTGAAAATAAGAAGTTCAGTCCCTTGAAATTATTTCTTGTCTTCACTCTGAGAGATGATCAGACATGCTCTGTTCCTACGATAAGATTCACTTTAATCTTACCTCTGGTAGGCAGAATTCAGGTACAGAATCCACAAATACATGACCTGAGCACTCCTTTAGCTCCTAAAAGACATGAAAGAAAAACAATTCTAGGAAGAGATGGTCAATAAACACAGTGCCAAAGAAATTCCATCCCCAAACCAAACTCTCTATGAAATGTTGCAGAAGGCTGGAGTTGGAGGAAAGTGGGAAGGTTATTTAGGTCAACTGGTTCTTGTTTAAGCTTAGGGCAGCTGAACATTTTATTCAGTATTAAAAAAATCAGGGCACGCATGCACATTTCTTGACGCTTCTTCAAGGAAGCCATGTGTGGACATAGGCTGCTTACACAACTCCGACCCACAGCTTTCCAAATAATAGTTATATGGACTACACCAGCAATATCAGAATGATCCGGAACAGTGACGGAAGTAGACTCCTGGGTCTTACCTAAGATCTAAGGGATCAGACATGGGACCTGTATCCATGACAAGCATGTCCAGTGATTCTGTTCTGCAATTAGATTGGGAGTCCAGAGTGCAGATAAATGAACTGGAACCCCCTTCTCCTCCTACAAAGGCTTGAGGGGCAAATAAGGAAGGAGACGAAGGATACAGGATAGGGATTAAATCACCTCCCCACCACCATTCAAAAGAAAACGGTATATTTATATACTGCAACTCCCCACACTGCCCATGACCTACAGAATTTAATAGGCCTGTGTTACTTCAAATTCTTTCACAAACAGACCTTGAGAAAAGGGTGTGTGAAAGCTAATGAGAGGTGCTAAAAAAAAAAAAAAAAAAATAGCAGGAGGAAGGGCAAGTGATAAAGGGCAAAGAAGCTGGCCGATAATAGATGTGTCACATAGCCACGTACCACTGTGCGCAACAGGGAGACTCTGAGAAATGGTAGCAAACCGTACACCCAGAAGTGATTCTACCCAGAGGCAAGGGACCTGGGATATTTATACAGCAACTGCTGCGTCTAGGGTAGCCTCAGGAAAAAACTGTCAGGCAAAGCCATACAAGTACCAGCAGCTGGAATTATGACAGCGGACACTGAAGTGTCTGGAGTGGGCCCCCAGGAGGCCAGCAGAGGTGCTGTCTTCTCGTGATGACACTGTACAGAGGTCTATGCAGGAGTTTTTGCTCCAAAGTTAAAGCTGTCTATGACTCTACAGCAAGATAAAAATCTTGCTGCTTTTCCCAGAAAGGGAAAAATACAGTTGGAATTGTGTTCCACTGTGTTTTCATTAGTCACTGAACATAAATTTCTATATATTCATATATCTCTACTTATACATTGGAGTTGGAATGATTTTACTCTCAATCTTTACCTGAAAATATGGCATTAACTGTCTGCTCTCTTCCTTTTGAATTTTACAAGTCTCCTATCAGAAGCTTAGAGAACATTTCCTACTCTTGCCTTCCACTGTAAACTCTGGTTCCTCTCCTTATATGACTACCATTTAACCAATGAAATGCCAAGCCAAAAAGAGACTGAAACCATTTGTAATTACAATATACCCACCAGTGAAAAACAAATGAGCAATTATGGTTAATGGAAGAAGACCCCCAACTCCCTTGGGATGAGATTAAAAATGATTAAAGACAAATCATGGGAAATTTCAAAGCACTGCCCGGCCTTTCATCGGCTATGTAATCTTCTTCCTCACATTCTCCATGCCCTGCCATGTACCAGGGTGCAGGGTCTGTCTACCTCACCTGACAGAGCCTCCTCTGAGGTGCTCATTTTTCCTGGCCTGGAGCAGCATATTTGCCATTCTGAGCACTTACAATGTCACTGTATTTTATTCACCACTCCCTCTTAATGAAATGCTCCCACAGACACATGCGAGTCATCTTGCTCACAATGCATGGGTAATGGGATGCTTCTGAGCCTTTCTCTGGGAACAATGATTTACAGCCAGCAGGAGACACATGCTGAAATTTCATCAGGTGCATAGGTTCTTGAATGTCACCTAATTTTATAGTTAGGCTATGAGGGAAATCTGATTTCAAGTCATGCATCTGGCTTGCACTTGAAGCTGGGGTGAGGGGGCAGGTACAGGAATTAATTCTGTAAAAAGAGCTCCTCTTCATTTAACAATATCTATGAAGAGAAGGAAATGCCTCATTCAGATGATCATTTTAAGGATCCTCACATTCAGTCTTTTAATTATGAAACTGGGGAGAGGAAGAATGACATGGAGGTCTAAGAATGGTGTGGATAAGCTTTACAGTGTCTAATCTTCCTTTATCTCTTTTTTTCAGAAGAAAATTTGGCTAGGTAAGTTTTAACTTTTGTTTCATATCTCTGGTCTTTCATATGGAACTTAAATGCCTAAAAATTGATCTGAGGAAGGACATACCATGAAGACAATCTAATGGCAAAAATTTAACAGCCTTGAAAAAAATAAAAAGTAATTTGAGTCATTCAGTTTAGGCCTAGTTAGTGATTAAGGTCATTAATAGAACTCCAAATCCCTAGATTCCTGTTAAAAGAACAATGTTCTTATTTCACAAATTATAAAAGTGTCCAGGCCAGGCTACCAGGATCATAGATCATAGTCTGGAAGGCCCTTTTGTTTACGTTTACCTGAACACGTGTTTCCCTCTCATGCCCCCAGAGCACACGGCCTAGAAGTGAAACACTTGGCTCCTCAGTCTGTTCACACTGCAGCCAAAGCGGTCTGAGCAGAGGATGGCCCTGCCTGCCCTTCATTACCCCAAGAAGACCACCCACACTTCTGACAACACCCTATGTGATCTGACCCCTAGAAGAGCGGTTTAAAACTCAACAGTGTTTGGTGGGCTTTAAAGTTATTAAAAAAAAAAAAAGTTCACTCCTTATAGGAAGAGTCAGTACAGCCTCAAAACGAAATGAGATGGATGGAATTCTCTAACAAGCAATGCCACTGAAACACTCATCACAATTCTAGAAATAATAGTTTTCTTTCTGGGGTGATAAAATGTATTTCCAGCTGAAGTCCCTAGATTTTACACATGTGAAAACTGGATTTGTGTCTGAATACTGAGACTCCTTAAAAAGCTCTTAAAAACAGTAATTACCAAGTACTGAAGACTCTACATGGGTCACAGGAGTTTTTAGGGAGAAGACAAAGGGGAAGAAATGAGCCCATTAGTCACATTACTGTCGGGTGGCTCCAGAATGACAAGATGGCTTTCCAGTGGGTGTAGATACACTTCAGCTTATCATTACCTTGTCCAAGAAAGCGTTTCCATCCTTTAGGGACCAGCCAGGAAGATTGGACAGTCTGGGACTGCAAAACAAAAGATTAAATTATCCTAAATAGGTTATAATCCTCAATGATTTCATGGTGACTGTACCGGCTCCACAAAATGAAACACAGTTTGAAAGGAGTGGCAGCAAGGCTCACCCAAAATAATAATCAGAAAGATGAAAAGTAACCAAGTGGTATCAAGCTTAAGAATTACGTGGCAATGGAACATTAAAAAGCCAAAGAGTTCTGCCCTCAATTGGAAAAATTAAAAGAATGCTATGCAGAATAATAAAGAGAAAAGGAAAGATGAGGCATGACAGCATTGTATAGTCTTCCAATCAGTGGCCCTGACTTCACCTTGCTAGGGTTTAACAATAAGCCTGAGGGGAAGGCCGAATGGGACCCCCATGTTGCGGAGGACAAAATAGGCTCAGAGAGGTCAGGTGTCTGTCAAGAACACTTAGCTGCCTACCAACCAGAATTTACTACAAATAGAAACTGGAATTCGGCTCAGTCACCTCTGTATTCATTGCTTAAATGAATTAGTCACGTGTTACCTGTGCCTTGAGTTTCCAATTCTGGCAAATGAAGATAGCTTTTCTCAGTGTTATAAAATGACACCGTATCTCAGTGAGTAATTTCTAGAAGGTGAGGTTAATTTCACATATACGTTATATCAAAAAAATCTGAACCAAAAATCATTCACTTTGGCAAGCTCCGAATTTAACTGAGTGGTATGAGCTGACCAGAAGCATTACACTGGAGGCTGAAAATGCAAACATGTCAGGAGAAAAAAAAATGTTGGTAAAAAGAAAAACTTGACCAAGGTGATATGTGAAGAAAACACATCAGAAGTACAAGGTAGATTGCAAAAGGATTTTAGCACTTCAACACAAAATTAAATTTAAAAATAAAGGGCAAAGTATGGGTGTGGGACTAAAAGACTCTATAACCCAAAACCAAATTAATATATAGTACTTTATCCTCTTGCTAAACTGATTTTTATCAAATTCTGACTTGGTAATTAGGTGCTAGGTACGAAAGTCAAATTGAAACAAATAATGGGAAATATCTGCCAATCTTCCAGGGAAGATTAAAAACCTGAATAAAATATATATGCATCTGATTTTAGCAAAAAAGGTGAGAATTTGACATAATTCCTAGGCTACAGTCCATGGGGTCTCCAAGAGTCGGACACGACTGAGCAACTTCACTTTCATTTTTCATTTTCACGCACTGGAGAAGGAAATGGCAACCCACTCCAGTGTTCTTGCCTGGAGACTCCCAGGGACGGGGGAGCCTGGTGGGCTGCCGTCTACGGGGTTGCACAAAGTCGGACACGACTGACGTGACTTAGCAGCAGCAGCAGCTAGTTCACAGAAAAGCTGTTAAGAATATAAGTACAATGAAGTCCCACATCCCCTTTGCCTAGATTCTCTGTTTACATTTTGCCTTTATTAGTCAAAAAGAGAGAATTCTGAATTTCATTCTTGAGAATGAAAATCACTACTAGGAGAATCAAATTTGGCCGGCATAAATTATATCTGAAAAACTTTTTAAAAAATGCTTGGAGTTTTCTCAGAAAAATACTCTATTACCATTAGATGTTGAATTCCCATCTCATTTCATAGTCACATGTGTACCTTCACTTAGAGACTTCTTAAAAATATTTACTATCAGATCAGATTAAAAAACCAAGCATTCTAATAAAAGCGTAATGATAGGCCAGTCTCAACACCATTCTCATTTCACGCACGTGGACTCTTTACAAGAAGGTTATAAATGTCCACTTCCCTTTACAAAGAGAACTGGACCAGAGGACTTGTATCCTGTTTGTTCCCTACTGGACACACACAACTCAGCCTTCAAATTACAGATGATTGATTCAATTATTTTGTCCTCAACAAGTGATTAGAAATGGTATGCTGTGCTGTGCTTAATCGCATCTGACTCTTTGAGACCCCATGGACCGCAGCCCGTCAGGCTCCTCTGTCCATGGGATTCTCCAGGCAAGAATACTGGAGTGGGTTGCCATTCCCTTCTCCAGGGGATCTTCCTGACCCAGGGATCAAACCTGGGTCTCCTGCACTGCAGGCGAACTTTTTACCGTGTGAGCCACCAGGAAAACGCATTAACTGCTTATTAAAAAATAATTTTTTAAAAAGTAAAAATTTCAGGTATTACTGTTGCTAAACATTGTTTATAACATCAGAGACTTCTGTGAAATATCTGGAGTTATTCTGGATTTGAGAATTGCCAGTAGATGGGACTGAATGATCAAAGAAGAGCCTGACCATGGTGTAACAATAGAGCCGAAGACAAAAGGCCACAGAAATGTAGCCCCAGGTGGGAAATGGATGCTGACTACAGAGATGCAAATATTTTGTTTTTAGGTCCAATTAAGTTAATGACTAAACCATAAAGAGCTAGTAAATGTTAAGCTACCAAAGAGGAAGAAATGTACTACTTTGTTCTTAATGATTACAAAATTTGACCACGTAAATATTTTGAACAAGGAAACAAGTCTCTTCACAGAAATCTACATTAAAGAAACATGGGGGGTAATGATATTAGAAAAATTCTGATTGCAGATGAACACATCTTTGTACCCACTATTTAACAGTAATTTCTATGGGAAAAAAGGGTGCCATTAAAAAATGTTATGGTCAAAAAAATATGTATACAAAAAAATTTTTTAGTAGTTTTTAAAATAGGTAAACTATTCCCATAAGTAACTAAATAAATAACCTAAGGTCTTTAAAAATAACCCACTGTCTAGAAAAACAGTGAAAGGTAGAATGAACATATGCAATTCATTTTCTCTTTATATGTTTCATTTTCCCATTTTCCTACTTTGAAATGCATTATTTTTACAATCAGGAAAGAGAGAGGCATAACTACATTCATTCATTCAAAATATGTTTATAAAAGCTTACTCTTGATTAAAATAGGCAAAGTAGAGGGATATGACAGTAACTAATCCTTGAGTTTGAGGAGCTTGCACTGCAGGAGAGGGAGACAGTAACCAGCAATCACAATAGAATAAACTAAACGCTCTGACAGGGACGGCAGCGCCGTTATGGTTCATACAGGAAGGGCACTTGTGACAGTGTGCAGAGGTGTGAGAGCAGGAACACAGAACAGGAACACGGGGTGAAGACAGAGGTGACTTTCCAGAAAGAGGGACAGGGAACGGGCTCATCATTCAGTGAAGTGTTGAAGGGGGAATGAGGTATTCATCTTCACTTGTTCGTTCATAAGTCTTGATTTTTGGGTCAAGCACTCAGAGGCTGGTGATCCTGACCACGAGCAAAACGTGCCTGTCATCCTGACAGGGCAGGGAAAACTGATCAAGTAGCCACACACACAGAGAACAAGCTGTTACGAATGAGGAGGCCGCACCGCACAAAGCGCCACGAAGTCTCCTAACACGGGAGTGGTCTAGGCGGTATCAGGACCCCTTGAGTCTCTGCTGATCGAACGGTAATCTCGATGCTGGGAAGTCAAGGGGAAACTGGTCAAGGGGAAAGTATGTGTGTGCGCGTGCATGCATGTGTGTGTGTGTGTGTGTGCGTGCGTGCGTGAGGTGATTTGTCCCTCATTGTGTCTGATTCTTATGTGATCCCATGGACTGCAGCCCACCAGGCTCTTCTGTCCATGGGGTTTCCCAGGCAAGAATACTGGCGTGGGTTGCCATTTCCTCCTCCAGCGGATGCTCCCAACCCAGGGCTTGAACCCGCATCTCCTGTGCTGGCAGGCGGGCTCTTCATCACTGAGCCATCTGCAGTGGGGTCAAGCGGCAGGGTTTGGAGGGAACAGAGCAAGAAGATAGCTACAAAGCCCAATCACTCTCACTAGCCTTCAGTATGGATGTCTTAAAAAAGGTTATGAATGAAATTTCATGGAGAGTCTCATACACACTACCCACCCCCTCAACCAACGAAAACGCCATCTCTCTGTCCTTCCCATGTAGAAAGGGGTATCAGAAGTGATTTGAGAGAGGAGCTCCTGCTTAGTAGGTAGGCTAAAGCAAAGGTGGGATGGGGGAAGGGTGGAGAGCCTTCTTGGCTGAAGGAACAATCTGTGTAGACTGCTCCCAGGCAGGAGAGAAGTCTTTGAAACTGAAGGAATACAAAGAGCAGGAGACTAGAAGAATATCAAAGGTACCAAGAGGAACTTGGTACTTAACCTAAAAGCAATGAAAAATCCACTGAAAGATATTAAAACAGATGAGAGACGAGACAGATCAGTCTTTCTATTAATAAAAGGTGATTCTGGAGAAAACTGACATCAAGTGCCCTCTGATAACATGTACCACCATTTGTGTGGTAATCCTACCAGAAACAGTAACCCCAACCTCATCATGAAGAATCATGAAGCAAACCCAAATTGAAAGATGTTACATAAAATAATTGGCCTGTACTCCTAAAAATGGCAAGGTCATCAAAGACATAGAGCTGTGAAACTTCCACACTGAAGGAGATTAAAGACATGGCTGAATGCAATGTGTCATCTGGATTGAACCCTGGACCACTAAGTTACTTTTTTTCTTTTGCTATAAAAGGCATTACAGAGAAATAGGAGCTGGTATATCTTGGGAAATATAAATAAGGCTCTAAGTTGCTTCTGCCATGTCCGACTCTTTTCGACCCCATGGACGGTAGACTGCCAGGATCTTCTGTCCATTGGATTTCCCAGGCAAGAAAACTGGAGTGGGTTGCCATGCCCTCCTCCAGGGGATCTTCCTGACCCAGATATTGAACCTTGTTTTTTTTTTTTCCTCCTATTTTTAAAATTTATTTTAATTGGAGGCTAATTACTTTACAATACTGGGGTGGTTTTCACCATACATTGATATGAATCAGCCATGGGTGTACATGTGTCTCCCCCATCCTGACCCTCCCTCACACCTCCCTCTCCATCCCATCCTTCTGGGTCTTCCCAGTGCACCAGCCCTGAGCACCCTGTCTCATGCATCCAACCTGGACAGGAGATCTTTTTCACATATGGTAATATACATGCTTCAGTGCTATTCTCTCAAATCATCCCACCCTTGCCTTCTCCCACAGAGTCCAAAAGTTTGTTGTTCTTTACATCTGTGTCTATTTTGCTGTCTTGCATATAGGGTCATTGTTACCATCTTTCTAAATTCCATATATACGCGTTAATACACAGTATTGGTGTTTTTCTTTCTGACTTACTTCGCTCTGTATAATAGGCTCCAGTTTCACCCACCTCATTAGAACTGATTCAAATGCATTCTTTTTAATAGCTGAGTAATATTACATTGTGTATATGTATCACAGCTTTCTTATCCATTCGTCTGCTGATAGACATCTAGGTTGCTTCCATGTCCTGGCTATTATAAACAGTGCTGCGATGAACATTGGGGTGCACGTCTCTCTTTCAGATCTGGTTTCCTCAGTGTGTATGCCCAGCAGTGGGATTGCTGGGTCATATGGCAGTTCTATTTCCAGTTTTTTAAGGAATCTCCACACTGTTCTCCATAGTGGCTGTACTAGTCTGCATTTCCACCAACAGTGTAAGAGGTGAACCGCGTTTCTTATGTCTGCTGCATTAGCAGGCAGGTTTTTTACAAGCAGTGCCATCTGGGAAGCCCAACATAGCTCAGACACTAGGATGACATCAATGTAAGTTTCTGGATTTTGATTACTGTGCTGCGGTTATGTAAGAGAACGTCCTCTTAAAAAACAGGAACTTGAGTATCTAAGGGGCAAAGGAGCATCATGTCTATATCTTTCAAATGGGTCAGAAAAAACTGTGTGTGTGTTAAGAGGAAGTGATAAAGTGAATGTGATAAAATGTCTATAACTGGTAACAATAATTGGGAATTGTTTGTACTATTCTTGCAACTTTTCCATAATTCTGAAGTAACTCCAAAATAAAACATTACACAAAAAGGAGACTCTGGATTCAGATAGGGGCAAGAACAGAATTGAAGAAGCTGGTTAGAAGGCTTCAGCAGTAATGCCGTAAAAGAGGATGATGACCAGCACAGTAGCACTTATGAGAAGTGACGGGATTCTAGGAGGTAAAAAATGACAAAGCTCAATGAAACAGTTGGCTTCTCTGGTGGCTCAGTGGTAAAGAACCCACCTGCCAAGGCAGGAGACTTGAGTTCCATCTCTGGGTCAGGAAGATCCCCTGGAGGAGGAAATGGCAACCCCACTCCAGTATTCTTGCCTGGGAAACCCCATGGCCAGAGGAGCCTGTCCAAAAGAGTTCATGGGGTCGCAAAAGAGTCAGACATGACTTAGTGACTAAACAACAACAGCAACAACACATGAAAGACTGGATGAAGGAAGGGAGAAAGGGGGCATCTGGGTGAACTCCCAGCTCTCTGGCTTTTCTATCTGGATGCCCTTTCCTAAGACAGGGCAGCAATGGGTGGGACCAGGTCTGGGAGGGTCGGTTCTCCTCTTCTGGACCAAGTCCAATCACGATCTCAGTTTGGGGCATGTTGAGTTCTGAGTGCTTTCAAAGGTACATCCAAAGACAGAAGCCAAGTGGGCATTTAGGATTTATGAATGTGGAACTCAGAAGAGCATTATTAACTGAAAAACATACACTTGTAAGTGACTGACTGGATGGTTATCGAGGCCCTGTGCATTTATTAAATTCCCTTGGTGGAGGCTCTGTGGCTAAGCACTGAGTACTTTAGAATTCTGATGTGTGATGGCCAGATGGAGGAAACTGAATCTCCAAAGGAGACAGGAGAGGAAGAGTCAGAGGAGTAAAGAAAACCAGGACGGCATGATCATGGAGGAGAGTGATGCTAAATGGTTGAGGAGAATGAGGGTGATAACTGGGTATCACAACTAATGACAAGGAAGCCATCTGTGATTTTACTGAGAGATGTCCTGGTGGGTTGTGTGGGCAAAGCAGACGGGAGGAGCAGGAATGCTGAGGGGACGGTGGAGTGGAGAGAAGGTTAGAAAGGTATTTTTAAAAAATTTTAAGTTAGAAGTGATTGAGCATAATTAAACGGGGAGGAATGAGTCAAGATGAAAAGATTCAAGATAAAGGAAAGATTATAAAAGTGAAATGACTCAGAGGCGAGAAGGGTTGGGAACCAGAGGAGATAAAGTGGTTCATTCGTTATCACAAATATTTACTGAGCAGCTACTGCATACCAGGAACTATTTTAGGCACTGGGGATACAACAGAGAGCAAACAAAATCTCTGCCCTTATAAAACTTATCTTTCAGTGGAGAAGAAAGACAATGCGTAAACCAAATATGTCTGTATGATACAACGAGAAGTGCTCTGAAGACAGACAAAGCAGGACGAAGAGGTGGGGAGGGACTGGGGAAACCATATTAATATTTCAGCCAAGCAGATGGCCAAGATTTTGAGCAAACAAAGACACTTTTTGTGAGGGACTGCCATGGGCTGCTAATCATCCTATTAGTATAATGTCCCTCTGAGAGAAAAACAATGAAAAGGAGAAGAGAGGGTAGAATCGACTTGAGAATACAGAACTGGTTAAAGACGGGAACCAACAGGACAGGGAAAACACATAGCGAGGACTGTCTGCACAATCCAGGGTTGAATACCTAGATGATTCATGACCCTACAGAGCATGCGGTCCGCTCTTGGGAATCCTCAGCATACCCCGCATTTTGTTTTCTTTAGTAATTACAAACACACAGACCGTTGTTTTTGTAACACAAGCATAACTAAATCTTCAGCAGTGTAATTCTTCCTCTCCCGACGGGCTACAAATTCCGTGAGGAAAGAAGAGCTGTCCGTTCTTGCCTGTGTCCTGTGGCCCAGGCCACTGCAGACTGTTAACATCAAGGGAATGAACATTTTAATCACTGGAAGGACACAGACAGTGATATTAGGCTATTTTAACAAGGAAAAACTTCTTAATCATCTTTGTCAAGAAATATATGTGACACCTACAGCTCCTGAATCAACTCTGAATATATTTCTTTTCTCTTTTGGATAGTATCAGTGGATGGTAAATGTATTTCTAAGTGCTGGGTGTGATTATAACTGAATTTTATCAGTTATGCATAAAATGTAACCTGGAATTATCTTTGACCTTGTCCCCATCACCTTACCTTATGCCTTGGTTGTTGTTTAGTCTCTCAGTCATGTCTGGCTCTTTGTGACCTCACGGATTGTGGTCTGCCAGGCTCCTCTGTCCATGGGATTTCCCAGGCAAGAATACTGGAGTGGATTGCTATTTCCTACTCCAGGTGATTTTCCCGACCCAGGGATCAAACATGCATCTCCTGCATTGGCAGGTGGATTCTTTACCACTGAGTCACCACTGTATGCCGTATCTCAGAAAAAAGCCAATCCTTCATTTTTAATTATATTTTTTCTAGAAGGTTCATGGGGTTATCATTATGAATAATGACTGCACACAATGAAGTCTTGAGCAGTGAATGAGAATACATGAGATGGTTTACCTAGCTTGCTATGCTTCTAAGTTCTTAAATCTGCTTGAGATAGCTTTGTGTTTCCCTTCCTTCATGCAGCATCACTTTTTGCTACCGGGAGTGTATCTGCTTCTAAAAGCATCTGCTGCTTTTATAAATTGCTGCTCCTAAGTAGCAGCAAGGTGGAAACTGACCTCTTAGACAAGGTCTTAGAGTGACTGGCGCTGCCTGTAGGCTTGGGGTAATTCCTCTGCTTTAAGTCAAGGACTTTGGCTTCACACATGATTCGTGGTATCTACAGATGATCAGTATTAGATACTAGTAGGTATCTAACAGATAGATATCTACCAAAAACAAATGTCAGGCTTTATGATGCCAAGTCCTTGCAAATGATTCTAAAATTCAATTCTTGGGACTCATCAGTTGACCATTTATCAGTTCCTACATAATTAGCAAGAAAGATGAAATATACATGACCTCACTTGCACTGAGCAGTTGCAGGAACATTTTACAGAAGCTCAGGAGAAGTTATAATAAAGAAGTCAATCAATAAATCAATACAACACTGCATCAACCCAGCCAAAGAATACTACTTTAAGAATGTTTTTAAGGGAAGAAAGCAAACTCTGGAGCACACATGAGCCATCGCCATCTTAATGCTACTGGGGACCATCTTTCAGCCAACTGAAGTTCATTCCATTTCAGATGCGTCAGTACATACCTTTGAACAAGTGGCAAAGGAAGGAAGTTCAGGGTGGAAGTCATGTCCAGTCCACAGTCCAGCATAATGGTGGTTGATTTGAATTTGAGCACATTGCATGGTAAGGTTGGGTGCCCTGACAGGCAATACTGAAAAGAAAAAACAAAAAAACCCAAAAAACTTTTGTCAATAATCAGTTACAGAAGAAGTCTCAAAAATACAGTGAATCCAATACTTTGGCCACCTCACGTGAAGAGTTGACTCATTAGAAAAGACTCTGATGCTGGGAGGGATTGGGGGCAGGAGGAGAAGGGGACAACAGAGGATGAGATGGCTGGATGACATCACTGACTCAATGGGCATGAGTTTGAGTAAACTCCGGGAGTTGGTGATGGACAGGGAGGCCTGGCGTGCTGCGATTCATGGGGTCGCAAAGAGTCAGACACGACTGAGCGATTGAACTGAACTGAACTGAACCAAAGCTGACCATCTTCTCTCATTGCAACAGGGTGTAAATCCAGCTAACTTTCCATGTGGTTTCCTCCCTATCACAGCTCTGGATACCACCTCCCCTCACACTCAGCATTCTCTACCTCGGATCATACCCAGTTCTTTGTCGGGTACCAATTTACATCTCAGGCAAGCAGAGTTTCGGAGGGGCCGAGGTTATTCCAAATAGATGGTTTCCAGGCTGCAGTTTTCCGCCCCATTCTCCCATGACACATTCAGATTTCCACTATCCCATCACACTTAAGTACTGTGTGAGAGTGAAAGAAAGTCAGAGTCGCTCAGTTGTGTCCACTGTGTAAAGTCAAATTAAATTCTAAGCTGGAATCTCCCACTGTGCTACAGGTTAAGTTTTCTCCTCTGTAAATAAGTCAGGTGACTTTCCTTTAGGAGGAAACGACTGGGAAAGGTAAACAAACAAGTATTAGGGTAATGGCTCCTAATGGCTCAGCCGTGTCAGGACAAAGGACTTCCCCGATGTGCAGAGAGCAGGCTGGAGTGATGTCCACCAATGCCCAGCCAACCAGGAGCCTCCTGCTTGTGGCAGCAGAGCTCGGAGTCAAAGGACACGAGCCACCAAGGTGTCCTCGAAAGAGAGCGACAGGCCAAACCAACACGCCGACTTCAAACACTCCTCACTTCTTCCTCAATGGAGCGGAGAATTATCTATATGCGACGGACTCTGTGTTACCTTCCATAATTTGACTGCTGCTCTGAAGGAAAAAATGAAAGAAGAGGAAAAAGACCTTTCCTCTCACTTTTTAAGTCATCCTATAGAAGCCTGTCTTGAACAGCAAAGTCCAGAAAATGGAAGGATCAATGTTCTTCATCTCTGGACAGACACATTCTTTCTTTCTGATTTAAGTAAAAGTCAGGGTAAAGCAGGACTTCCCAGGTGGCACAGTGGTAAAGAATCTACCTGCCAATGCAGGAGATGTGGTTTCAATCCCTGGGTTCAGGAAGATGCCCTGGAGAAGGAAATGGGAACCTGCTCCAGTATTATACTGGAGAATCCCATGGACAGAGGAGCCTGGTGAGCTACAGTCCATGGGGCTGCAGAGAGTCGGGCATGACTGTGTACCCACACACACACAGGGTAATGCAACATCAGTGCTGCTCCCACGTGGCCACCACGGCTCAGGCTAAGTCTTTACAGGTACTGGTTGCTCTGTTGGTTCTATCACTGGATACATTTCCTACTTTTCTCTGGAAGACAGTACAGGAACTGATGAGTTTTTAAAACTGCAGTTTCTAAAACTGATAAGGCCGAAAGCCAAGAAATTTTGGGTATTCTGCAAGCTTCTTTTCTGGCCACCGCTGTCTGGCTTCCAGATTTTAGTTCCCCAACCAGGGATCGAGCCCAAGCCCCTTGCAGTGGAAGTGCAGAAGCCTATCCACTGGACTGCCAGGGAAGTCCCTTGCAAGCTTCTTTATTCCAAGTTTATACAAGATAATTGTATTTTTCATTGTATAATACACACTCATGGCCTAAAATAGTACAGGGTTACTTACAACAAAAACAGTAGCAAGAAAGTACTAAAAAAGTCCAGGAAGCATCCTTTGGGTAATTATACTTTACCTGTAAGTTCATTCTTTAAGAGCTATCAGAACTACAGAATATATTTTCCAACTAATCAAGACAGAGCTATCCACCCCTGTCCTTTCTCCATCTGTTTCCTATTGCCAGCTTGGTTTTCAAACTTATCTAGGAATCATGTATTTGTTAAAGATAAACTATCTCAAAATGAACACAGAGCGACCTGTTAAACCTGTACCAAACATAACAGAGGTTCTATAAGAGTTCTCCTATTAAAAAAAAAGAAAAAACACATATTCAGAAAAACCTAAAAAGAAAAGAACTGGAATGTATCTAATGGTTATTTTTGGGTAGAAAGATTAGTGTAATTTTCTTCTTTCAGCTTTTTGCATCTTCTCAATGTTTGACTATCAGCATTTACCATACTTCTATAATCAGAAAAAAATATATAACTAAAACAAAGCTGAAAATTTAGCCAGCCACATCAAATGACAAAATCTTTCTGATCTTCATCTTTAAATCATGGATAACAAGCTGCAACAGAAGACAGAAAATGGACATGACAAAGCTGCTGCTCAGATTTCAGGCAAAGGAAGTTAGCCATCTAACTGCTCCTGTCATCCAAGGATAAAAAAAGGCGAGGACCACTTTATAAGGGCCATAACTGATTGTAAGACATTTCCAGAGCATCTACTAAGAGTGCCAGACTTTGATGTCAGTAGCTCCAATTTTATGAGTCAGGAAATAGAGCTTTTTACACAGTTGAAGGGGCTGAGAAGAGAGCCAAAGACACACAGCAAGTTCTCCAGACTCCAGAGATCCTACTCCTGCTTCCCAAACTGCACTGCTCACTTTGTGAGGGTCAGCTCAGTCTGCTGAGACAAGAGTAATTGTCACCAGTCAATGAGCCACCTGGCAAGGTTCCCCAAGTTTCTCTGCTCCACTGATGCTCTCTGCCTGTTTCCAACACACAGTTGTGAACAATCACCAAGTAGATTATAATCTAGTAAGGCTTAGGAGAGTAACGCACAAAAACAGTAAGTGATCATGTGATTTTAATTTCATAATTAGAAAAAGGATGACAAAAATTTGAAAACTACTCCTCACTAGCGTTTTTACAGGCCCTGACTCCCATGTTTGTAAAAGCTGTAATTTTAGGACACTACTGCCCCGCGTGCTGTGACGATTTACAGCTTTGTGCTCTTTGTCTGTTGTTGCAAAGCACTTCATCTTTACTGGCTGCCTAGAAAAAATACACCGTCACTTGTTTAATCCTTCTCTTGCTGTTGAACAATTAGGGTCACTTTAGGTTGCTCTATCACAAACAGGACTGTGGTGTTAACTTTAGCGCTCAAGGCTCTTTCCATACTGGACCATTTCTTCAGAGGATTCCCAGAAGTGGCATTAACTAGGTCAAAAAATATAAGCATTTTATGGCTCTTGAAATATGCTGCCAGAATGTTTTCCAAAAAAGGCTGTGCCTATTTACAATGTCATCAGTCACACAGCAGAAGATCCACTACACTGCTTACTCCCATTAGCACTACGGTCAAAACCGTCTGGAATCTACCAAAACAGAAGTTAGTAAATGTTAGCAGTGGCTATCTAGGAGCAATTAAATGACCCTAAACAGGAAATCAACTACTTGATAAATGCTTTAATTTTGAGAGGCAGTTTGATGAAATGATTTAAAGCAGGGAGTTTGAAGCAAAAATGCCTAGGCTCAAAAACTAGTCATGCTCATTATTAACAAGTGATTTTGGGAAAATTACTTAACTTTGCAAAGATACAGTTTCCTTATCCACAAGACACAGTAGTAGCAGCTACCCTCCTAAAGCTGTGAGGACTAAATGAACAGACACAGAACCTGACACAGAGTATGCATTCATTGTTGCTGTAGTCACAGAAGGGGTTGAAGAGGCTACCGGAATTTTTTCCTGGGGCGGGGGGGACACCTAAATTTACAGCATTTTAAAGAAGAAATTCTATTTCATTGTGGCATTCACTAATGCTTTAGACATCTGTGTATCCCATGAGACAAGGCAGGGACATCCCTAGTGGTCCAACTGGTTAAGAATTCACCTGCCAATGCAGGAGACATGGGTTCAATCCCTGGTCTGGGAACTAGGATCCCACATGAGCAAGTAAGCCCACGAGCCACACCTTCTGCAGCCCCGACTTGTGCAACTAGAGAAAGCCTGCATGCAGCAACGCCGACCCAGCCCAGCCAATATATAAACACCCAGCACAGCCAATCAATTAAAAAAAAAAGACTAGGTAAAGGGAACGAACAATTTTACAAATATTTTTCTATTGCAAGTTTTCCCTCCAGGAAGATAACAATTACTACTGCAAAAGTGAATATTCTAGCAAACATAAGGTTTTATGAGTTTTATTTTTTTTTAAGCATTATTGACATTTTGGGGGTAAATTTTTTTTTATCAATTACATTTAGTAAACATATTTCCAATTGTCTTACTTTCCTTTAAAACTGTTTTATTATGGAAAATTTCAAACACATAAGTAAGCAAAATTAGTAAAATAAACTCCCATCACTCAGATTTAACAACTGTCCATTTTCTGCCCTTCTCTTGCCTTCCTTTTGATGTTGACACACTTCTGCAGAATAGCTACTGTGCTGACAAACCAATCTGATCTCTGAAAATACTGTTTTCATAAAGAGTCTTAAATCTATCTCTTATCCACAACTGAGACAAAAACATGATTCCATTTTCCTAAATGTCATAGCAAAATTCATTAAACATAACTTCTTCCACCTTTAACTCCTCTTTAGTTTTTAACACCTCCGAGTCCTGTAACAATTTAAATCTATTTCTGAAATCTCTATTTTGTCCACTGTCCTTTTTTGGTTTTGTTTTCCATTTTTGCCCTCAATGCTGTAGTTTTTACTATACTGAAATATTTGAAAACAAGTTAGAGTGAAGACTTCAGTACTAAAATAGTCTTCCCAAGGATCTTAATGGCGGCTACATTTAATCTATGTATTTAAGGAATGCTGCCATTTCTACTATATAATAACATTTTTCTGAGCCAGAAGCAATGCACTGATTTCTCTTTTTTTGTTCTCCCTTTACATTTTAAGAT